CATTATTCTCCTGACTTTGGTGAGCATCTTTATTACCATTATCTTTACTTCTTTGTCAAGTAAATTACTGATCCCCATTTCATTAAGTCTTTTTCTGGAGTTTTATATTGTTTTTTTTTTTGTTTTTGTTTGTTTGTTTGTTTGTTTGAAGTAAATTTCTTGATTTTTCTTAATGCTATTCATTCTAGGCATTAAATAAAAGTCACCTCTCCCTGTCTTGAAAGAGGGGTCTCATATGAGATGAACCTTATTGATCAGCCTGGCCTGAACTTTTGGTTGTCTCTCAAACCCGCTTTGTGATTATCTAGTCTGCCTTCTTATTTTCCAAGGTTCCCAATAGTTGAAGATATGCCAAAACCTGTCAGTGTCCCAAAAGGAAGGATCTCAATCAGCACCTGCATGCAGCTGATTGGAAACTGGACCTTCAAGTAGCAGCTTTTAAAGTATGCAGGTAAACCTCTTTCAAGGAAAGACTGGGACATGGGCTTTCCTGAGAAGTAGCTATGCTCCATTCCCAGGTCTGGTCCTTCTTTGCTTTGACCACAACAAACCACTCCTTGCCCATGCTGGCTTCACCATAATACCTGCCTGGCCCTTCTCAGCTATTGAGTGGGTAATTTTTTGATTGGGTTTATAAAGAGAGATCTTTATAAGGTCATCACCTAGGGTTTGTGGTTTCAAACTATGGCCACAGCAAAGTGCTAGACTACAAATATGTGTGTGTCCCCCCGCCCACACACACAATTCAGATGTTAAAACTGAAAGGAAAATCCTCCCTAGAAACCTTGTGGAAAATATTTGACTGAATATCATCTTGTTACCACCATAACTAGCTAATTAATATTAAAACTAGAGAGAGCAGAGAGGAGGCCAGACATTGTAAGCATGGTCAACTGGCAGCTTCACCAGGAAGCTGCAACTTTACACTGTCATGGGAACCACCTAGAGATCACTGCGTAAAGGGTCCAAAGCAAAGGGGATGATAGGCGCATGTGCAGTGAAGTTGGGATGACACAGGGAAGGTGCTTGCCTGTCTTTGTAACCTAAGAACAAAGATCATTGGGTCACTACAAGCGTGTGAAAATTTGGGAATATATGATCCCCAGATAAAGACTTTTGTCTCTCTTGAGCTCTTGTTCTTCTTGCACAGGATCCTGTTTCTGGCTTTCTCTGTGACCTGCACTCGCCCGTACCATGTGGCCCTAGAAGCTACATTGCCCAGGACCATGTGGACCCCACATTAGCCAGATGCTGGACTGGACTGGACTGTAATATGAAACGGAAACTCTGGGCAGTGGCTTTGATCTTAGCTCTGCTGAAGACCAAATGGGACTTTTTCCAAGGCAGAACAGAGGGCGATGGGACCTTGGAGGAGAACTCCCTTAATGTTCCATCATCAATAAAGCTTTTCATTATACATCATCCACCCCTGGGAGCCTCAGGAATTTCTTGTTCCCGCGGCACCCCAAGAGCTCCACTTTCATCAGCAACAGGTGGGGAGACAGAGGACACCCCACCAATAACAACCTTGGCCACCTCATGGTCATTTGAGAACCACACTGACTATTCCCATACCAAATACAACAGAATGTGGCTGGGTCAGGGGATAATGTAATAGGATTAATACAATGTGTTCAGTGCATTTTAGTAAAGAACCTAAGACAGAAGAGGTGATCAAGACTCTCCCAGCAAACAAAAGCCCAGGCCCAGATGGCTTCACGGGGGAGTTTTACCGAACATTCAAAAAAGAACTAACACCCATTCTCCTCAAACTATTTCAAAAAATTCAAGAAGAAGGAAGACTTCCAAACACGTTCTATGAGGCCAGCATAATTCTAATTCCAAAACCAGAAAAAGACACTACGAAGAAAGAAAACTACAGGCCAATATCCCTGATGAACATAGACGCCAAAATCCTGAACAAAATATTAGCAAATCGGATCCAGAAATACATCAAAAAAATTATTCACCATGACCAAGTGGGATTCATTGCAGGGATGCAAGGCTGGTACAATATTCGCAAATCAATAAATGTGATACACCACATAAACAAAATGAAGAATAAAAACCACATGATCATATCAATAGATGCTGAAAAAGCATTCGACAAAATCCAGCACCCATTTCTGATAAAAATGCTCAGCAATGTAGGAATAGAGGGATCATATCTAGACATAATAAAGGCCATATATGAAAGACCTACAGCCAACATAATACTAAATGGACAGAAACTAAAAACATTTCCATTAAGAACAGGAACAAGACAGGGATGTCCACTTTTGCCACTCTTATTTAACATTGTACTGGAAGTCTTAGCCACAGCAATCAGACATGAAGAAAAAATAAAAGGGATCCAAATTGGAAAGGAGGAAGTGAAACTGTCATTATTTGCAGATGACATGATATTGTACATAGAAAACCCTAAAGACTCCATCAAAAATCTACTAGACTTAATAAATGAATTTGGCAAAGTAGCAGGATACAAAATTAACGTCAAGAAATCGACGGCATTCTTGTACATCAATGATGAACTCACAGAAAGAGAAACAGAAAAACAATCCCATTTACCATCGTGCCACAAAAATTAAGATACCTAGGAATAAACTTAACCAAAAAAGTAAAGGACCTATTTGCAGAAAACTACAGGTCATTGAAAAAAGAAATAGAGCAAGATATAAAAAAGTCGAAGCACATACCCTGTTCATGGATTGAAAGAATTAACATCATTAAAATGTCCATACTACCCAAAGCAATCTATAGATTCAATGCAATCCCCATTAAATTCCAACGACATACTTCACAGAACTAGAACAAATACTTCAAAAGTTCATATGGAACCAAAAAAGACCCCGAATAGCCACAGCAATCTTGAAAAAGAAGAACAAAGTAGGTGGGATCACAATACCAGATATCAGGTTATACTACAAGGCGACTGTAACCAAAACAGCCTGGTACTGGCACAAGAACAGGCATATAGACCAGTGGAACAGAACTGAAAACCCAGAAATGGACCCAAGGCAATACGCTCAATTAATATTTGACAAAGGTGGCAAGAGCATACAGTGGAGTAAAGACAGCTTCTTTAATAAATGGTGTTGGGAAAATTGGACAGCTACATGCAAAAAAATGAAACTAGACCATCAACTTACACCATGCACAAAAATAAACTCAAAATGGATAAAAGACTTAAATGTGACCCGTGAATCCATAAAAATTCTAGAAGAAAATGTAGGCAACAAAATTTCGGACATCATACGGAACAGAATTTTCACTGATACATCACCTAAGGCAACAGAAACAAAGGGAAAAATGAACACATGGGACTACATCAAACTAAAAAGCTTCTGCACAGCAAAAGAAACAATCATCAAAATGGAAAGGCAACCCACTGTATGGGAGAACATCATTGCCAATGATATATCAGATAAGGGGTTAATTTCCAATATATATAGAGTGCTCATACAACTCCACAAAAGGAAGACAAAGAACCCAATTAAAAAATGGGCAGAGGAGCTGAATAGACACCTCTCCAAACAGGACATACAAATGGCCAAAAGACATATGAAGAAATGCTCAACATCACTAATCATCAGAGAGATGCAAATTAAAACAACAATGAGGTATCACCTCACACCTGTCAGAATGGCCGCCATCAACAAATCCGCAAACAACAAGTGTTGGCGAGGGTGTGGAGAAAAGGGGACTCTAATACACTGCTGGTGGGAATGCAGACTGGTGTAGCCACTATGGAAAACAATATGGTGTTACCTCAAAAAATTCAAAATTGAACTTCCATTTGACCCAGTGATGCCACTGCTAGGAATATACCCTAAGAAGCTTGATACACCAATCAGGAAGAATATATGCACCCCTAAGTTCATAGCAGCACTATTTACAATAGCTAAGATCTGAAAACAGCCCAAGTATCCATCAGTAGACGAATGGATAAAAAAGCTGTGGTAGCCCTGGCTGGTTTGGCTCAGCGGTTAGAGCGTCGGCCTGCGGTCCAGAGAGACACGGGTTCGGTTCCCGCTAAGGGCGTGTACCTCGGTTGCAGTTTGTCCCCGGCCCTGGTTGGTTGTGCGGGTGGCAGCCACTCGATGTGTTCCTTTCACATCGATGTTTCTCTCTCTCTCTGTTCCTCTCTCCCTCCCACTCTACCTGAACAAAAAATGGAAAAATGTCCTCGGGTGAGGATAAAAAAAAAAAGCAGTGGTACATATACACAATGGAGTACTATGCAGCAGTAAGAAAGAAAGATCTCTTATCCTTTGAGACGACATGGAGGGACCTGGAAAGTATTATCCTAAGTGAAAGAAGCCAAGCAGAAAAAGACAAATACCACATGATCTCACTTATATACGGAATATAATGAACATAACAGCCTGAGGAATACAGTAGACCCAGAAACATGGAAGTAGGGCACAGACTGACATCCCTCAGAAGAGGGGGTGGGGGGTTGGGGGGGTGGGAATAGATAAACCACAGAACTTATATGCATGTATGCATGACCAATGGACATGGACAACTAAGCCGGGGACGGGGCAGAGGTGGGGTGGGGTGGGGGGTGCCAATGGGGCAAAAAGGTAAAATATCTGTAACAAAAAAATAAATAAATAATTTATATATATAAAAAAAAGAACCTAAGACAGTTCATAAAAGTTGACGTGATCAAAATTTGTGCACAGCCCCAGAAACCCTGTCACTTTACACAGTAATGAACCATTGTTTTCATCTGTTTTCTTCTCACTCCCTGAAGCAGAACAACAGATCCAGGGTTCTTCCCTGCCTCTTCACTTTCCCGCTCCAGAACGTCTAGTATTCCCACAAAAACCTTGACTGATAAGCTCAACCCAATCAAGTATAAAGTTAATCGATAGAAGCTACCACTTTGTTAGTAAGAACTAAAGAAGGCATTTCTTGTACAGGATAACAGTCATTGTAATTGGGGCTCAGCAAGTTTCTATGGGTTATCTATCAGCAAATAAAACTCACCTTGCTGATATAGAACTCTTTTCCGTGATGCCCATTGTAATCAACAGACAATTCCATTGGCCACGGGTTGACCTTCTTCTCTTTCAGTATCTAGGCTGCTTACACATTCTGTTTCTTCTTCCATAAAAGTGGGATGACAATAGTGGGTGTCTTGCAGAATTGTTGTGGAGACCTGTGGTCTTGGATCAGGGTTAGACTCCCACTAAGTCATCACAGTACATGTTAGCTGGTTTTATGTGTAAACAAGGTGCAGTCTTGTAGGTGGATTAGAATAAGCTGAGATGAGTCAGGGCTAGCTAGAGTGGGTGATTATAAACATAACAGTTTATGTATAGATTTTTATTGCATTTGAAAGGCAAATAAAAACGTATTTGGGGGCATCCACATTCCTTCTTACCTTTCAAAATATAGGAGATCTTACCTTTTAAGGACACACTTTGTACAGGTATGTTTAGGAGGGTGGATCCAAGGGGAGGGAGGTAAAAGGTTCTGAAAAAATATATATGTAAAAAGTTTATACTGGACTATACAATAGTCATGTGCTGTTAGCAAGTAAAAACTACTTACTAATTACCTATAGCAAATCATGAAGCTCCGATGTTAAGATTTATTTTATGAAATGAACAAAACATCTCCAATTTGGCATTAAACAGTTTGTCAACATCACTTGAGAAATGCACAAAATTTTCGGAAGACAAAATCATGTGTTGTGACTGCCACCTTGTGGTTCTATGTATAATTTTAGCCCTCAAAAATCAAATATTTTATATTGCAACAACCAAATTCTAAAATACACCAACAGTTTGAGTATGGCTTTCCCCCTGGCATTATTAAAAATAATCCAAGTTGTAAAGAGGACTACAAATTAATTTCTTGGCATCCATTTATTGGCTAGCAAGGGCCTGAAATCTGGTAAGAAGTCACATAAGATCTAAGTCACGTAAGCTCTAAATTGTACAACTGATGTGTGCTTATGTGTGTTTGTTACACATTTTAAAAATTGAAAAAAAATTATATCATGCCTAATTAGTAGATGTGCTAAATAGCATATAACTACCCATAAAGTAGAATCTATATTCCCATTAAAAATACAGAATTAGAGAGAAATTATGAAATTATATCGTTTTCCATGTACATAATTATATTCTAATCCTTTGAAGGGTAACTAAGAAAGGATTAAGTTCAAAGTTTCTAAACCCTTGTAACATCCTACTCTGATTATTTATTTATATGAACTGGTCCGTGCAACGTAATACTTTTGTGCCACTCTCTTCATTCATAAAATATGGGTGAGTTCAATAGGAAACATCTCATGGGGCTGTTGTGAAAGTCAATTATAGTTTTTATAGTAGTCTTTGGCATTCCGGAAAGGTGATCAGTGACTGATATCTCTTATTCTGGGTAACAAAAATTATGATGGCACCAGTCCAGTTAGCTTTACTGTTAGAAACTGAACTTCCCCCTTCAAAGAATTCCCGATTCCTCCCTCAGCTCTTTCCCTCCTGCCTCCTTCTGATGTCTTGGCTGTCAGTGACCCTAAAAGGCAATTTCTGCTGGAGACCCAAGGTCGAAACCCTCAGAATGACTTATGAGCAAGGTGTCAGAATTGCTACCAGCTAGGATTTGCCATATGTCTCCCATTCTATCCTTTTCCAGTAGGAGTACATACATGACTTTGTTCTTACAATGACCCTATCCCTGCCCTATTTTATATACCGAACAGGTGGGGAGAAGAGGACTTACCCTTAGTTCATGGACAGGTGTCACCACCAGCCCTGACACACAGACTTCCACATCAGTACATCATCCAGAAACCTGAACTCAGCCCCCGGCTGTGACAGAATGGAATTCTGGGGCTGTCGTGCTTGAAGAGGGGATGAGTATAGTTTGTGTGCAGGAAAGAGGGTGACTGAGGGTGGATTTGGGGAGTTATTAGTACAGTTCTCCACATCTTTTATTTTTCTTTCTGGTACATGCACATTTGAAGGCAGGAATGGTCACGTGACTTGCTTTGACCCATGAAGTAAGGGAAGGTACTGTCACTTCAGGGTGGAAGAAACTCTGCATTTCAGCACATGATTCACCATTTCCTCCTGCCTCGCTGGTCCTGACAGTGTGTGTCGGGACAGTGCCTCAGCCTGGGTCTTGGGGGGATGCTCAACATCGAGGGGAGCCCCTCCGTGATCCCGAGGACGTCCAGTTTGAAAAGAAATGACATTTGTTGCAGTAACGCTCTGGAAGTTTGTAATCGTTTTCTCATCATGGTCCAGGCTATCCTATTACAGGAAATGACACGTCACTGTAACCCCTGGGAGGTCACCTGCCTTTCTGTTCCTGCCCCTAAGCAGCCGCAGGGGCCCTTTCCCTTAGTCTCCTGACTCACAGCCCAGACCCAGGCTGCAGTTTCGTGCGGACAGTGGGAAGAGTCGGGGAAGAACAGAAGGGCTCTGGGGCCAGTCCCTCTAGCCAAGCTGAGGCCCCACCGCTCAGCAATTTGCTGAACGACTTGGTTTTACCCCGGTGACTTGTGTAAAATCGGGATAATGGTACTTACTTGTTCCAGTTACTACGCCTGTGTAAGAAACCACCCCAACACCTATTGGTGTCAAACAACCATTTATTACTCTCAGGGATTTATGAGTCAGCAATGTGGACAGAGCACAGCATGGATGGCTGATCTCTGCTCCCCATGACCGAGGTCTCAGCTGCAAGACTCAGACCAGGAGCTCAGTCATCTGGAGAGTCCCTCACTCACATACCTGCTGGCTGCTCACTGAGACCTGGGCTGGGCCATCAGCCCTTACACGTGGCTTCTTAGTGTGGTCTGGGCTTCTGTGCAACGTGCATGGAGAGAGAAAGCAGAAGCCACGTCACCTCCTGGGACCTAGCCTCAGAAGTCAGCGTGGCTTCCACTGGCTGCTGCCTGTCAAGGCAGTCATAAAAGCTGCCAGTCTCGAGGACAGGGGAAGTGGACGGCCTCTTCAGAGTGGCAAGACTCCGGAAGGGTCTGTGGGGCCAGAAATATTGCTGTAGCCACCTTTAGAAAATAAAATTTGCCACACTTCCTCAAGTGAAGGTTAACTCACTAAATAAGCACACACGCCCTGGCCGGTTTGGCTCAGCGGTTGGAGCATCGGCCTGCGGTCCAGAGAGACCCAGGTTCGGTTCCCACTAAGGGCACGTACCTCAGTCGCAGTTTGTCCCCGGCCCTGGTTGGGTCGTGTGGGTGGGAACCACTCGATGTGTCCCTTTCACGTTGATGTTTCTCTCTCTCTCGCCCTTCCTCCCACTCTATCTGAACAACAACAACAAAAAGAGGTAAAAATGTCCTCAGGTGAGGATAAAAAATAAATAAATAAACAAATAAATAAGCACACACAGTGATGTTTTGGGAGGTGTGTGCTGGGTGTCATTGATCCACTGCACAGGTTTGGGACCATGGAACTGCCTCCCTGGGACCCACTCCAAGGATCTGTTATCTCAGACTCCAGACCAAAGTAAGGTAACCCCAAAGCAGGAGGAGGTAAGGGGCATGCTCTGGCTGCGGCCTCAGTGAAGCATTTGTACGACAGTCTGCCAGCAGGCTCCGGGTTAGTTCTTTTACATTCTTCCCTGGTGAACGGTCTCTGAAGCTTTGAGGACTCATTTAACCAAGATCATATACTTGCATATGTACAATTGTGATTTTATAGTAAGAGATCTGCAAGAACATTAAAATTGTTTAAAGCAATGGTAAGATTTAGGTGGTTTTTAAAATTTTTTTATTTCTATTTTTTAACGCATTTAAAAATTTCCGTCTCCCTACCTGCATCACCTTTGGCAACCATCAGCTTGTTCTCTATGGGTCTGTTTCTATTTTTGTTTTGTTTCTTTTTAGATTCCACATGTGAGCAAAATCATATGGTATTTGTCTTTTTCTGACTTAGTTCACTTATCATAACCTCTAGGTCCATCCGTCGTCACAAATGGCAAGATTTCATTCTTTTTTATTGCTGAATAACATCCCATCACATATATGCCACGCCTCTATCCATCCATCTGTTGATGGACAGACATCTCGGCTGCTTTCCTGTCTTGGCTAGTACTAGTCATGCTGCAATGAACATAGCTGTGCGCCCATCTTTTCAAATCAGTGGTTTTGTTTCTCAGATAAATCCCCATAAGTGGAATTGCTGGGTCATGTGGCAGCTCTATTTTTATTTTTATTTATTTATTTATTTTTATTTTTTAATCCTCACCCGAGGACATTTTTCCATTTTTTGTTCAGGTAGAGTGGGAGGGAGAGAGAGGAACAGAGAGAGAAAGAGAAAAACATCGACGTGAAGGGACACATCGAGTGGCTGCCACCCACACAACCGACCAGGGCCGGGGACAAACTGCAACCGAGGTACGTGCCCTTAGCGGGAACCGAACCCGGGTCTCTCAGGACCGCAGGCGGACGCTCTAACTGCTGAGCCAAACCGGCCAGGGCTCTATTTTTATTTTTTGAGGAATCTCCATACTGTCAGAGGTATATCATTCTGTCAAAAACTATAAAGTACCGTTTTTAGTCAGTGTTAACGTGAAGTGAAATAAACCTCGTAAGGGGTGCATCACCCACTAGGGTGCTTGCTGAGGCTGAAAAGGCAGGATAACAGCAGCTGCTAGTCTTGTGGTGAACCCGAGAGGGCTGGGTTATCTGGTGTTCGCAGTGCAGCGTGGACTCGAAACCACACCTTAGCACCCAGCCACCGGTATCAGATTGGCCCAGGAAAACAGCCTGGCCAGTACGAAGCTGTTGAGTCATCTGCACATGCTCCAGGGGCAAGTTTCTTCAAACCTTGTATTTCAGTGCAAAAGAAAAGCGAACTTTATACCACGCACCAAACACCTGATGGAGATTTCACAGGCGGGCTGACGGGCCGTGACCAGCTGCAGTTATGGTTGACCCGTAGGATGAGTTCACTGCTGGAAAATTGGCTGAACAGAGGATCCTCGTCTGACTTTTGGGTGGTATCTAAATATGCCAGATTTCATAGTCATTCAAGTTTAAAATCTGGCCCCAAACTCACACCCTCCAACACTGGCAGTGTGTGGCTTACCGCATACCTTCATCTTGCCAGGTACAGTGGGTTTGAACTGCACAGGTCCACTACCCAGATTTTCTTCCGACGAACACCAAGTGTATTTTCTCCTCCTTAGGATTTCAACATTCTTTTCTCTGCCTTATTTTATTATAAGAATAGAGTATATAATACATACAGCATAGAAAATGCATTAATCTATTGCTTATGTTATCTGTAAGACTTCCAGTCAACAGTAGACTAAGTAGTTAGTTTTTGTCGGGAGAGTCAAGTTATATGCAGGTTTTCAACTGCATAGGGGGTTGGCACCCCAACCCCAGCACTGGTCAAGGGTCAACTGTTCACTGGGTAACTGAAGCTGGGCAGCACCCGGGGAGACCAAGGGAGGCCTCAACCAGATCCAGGTTCTTGTCACTGGACAAGAAAGAATTCAGAGCGTGACAAGGATTTAGCAAAGTACAGTACATTTATTAAAGCGATAGGATGAGGTGAGAGCAGGCGACCTTGGTGAACCAGACGTCCTGTGGAAGGCTATTATGAAATGTGGGCATAGGGAGGAGGGGATACGGTGGACCTCTGCTTCTGACACTGGTGGGGTGACTGCCAATGCCACTCATCCTTGTCCCTTTTCTCTAGACAGCAATTAGTGTGTGTGGGGGGGGGGTCCTGCCAATTACAGGAAATTGGGAAAGGGAAAACAGGGGAACAGGTTGTCAGCAAAGGTCGAGTCTGTTAAGTTCTAACCAAGAAGGGGAAGGAAAGGGGTACAGCTTGAGGCCACGGGGTTCCCTGTTCTAACTCTGCCTCAATTACTATCAACCAACTTTCCCAAGTGTTCCTGGGACCACCTAGCTTGGCTGGGTGGGGCTGTGCCTGGAACCACATCGCACTAGCTCTGAGCAATTCAAGCACCTGCAAATACAAGTATACCATTAAGAGTATTAAGTATTAATCAATGACATTTCTTCACTTTCTAGAGGCATGTTTAAAGTTTAAGACCTAGAGAGCTAGCCTGTCTCCACCCTCCAGCTTACCGGCTCAATCCCTAGCCTACTCTTCCACCAAGCGTTCCTACACGTACCTGTGCACCAGCAGCTTCCTCCTCGTTTCTAGTAACTAAAGTCACCTCTATAATTCATTTCAAAATACTGTCCCCAAGCAACCAACGAGCATTCTAATGAAGCAGAATTTGCCACCCTAAAATGTGCCTCTTTGGGAATATTGATTATTTTAGGCTGGTTAATTTTAATCAAGAGCAAACGGGAGAAAATTCTGAAAACCAACCAGAAGCACCTTGCTTGAAGGAAGGGCACCCCCCCACTGTCCCAGGCCTGCCTTCCCCATCCAAGTCCTGCCTTCATCTGCAGGACAGTCTTACCCTTGTTCATTGTTTTTACCTCTGGTACTCTCCACCCTCAAGTCTTTTGCCTCCAGCTGAGGTTAGTATTTAAGGCGATGGCTTCTGAAATGGCAAGTTACTCATTTTTCCTGGGTCTCTCCCTTGTATAAGATAGGTGTATGTTTTCAACTTTTTTATCCCGCTAATCTGTCGTGTTCATTTGATTACTAGAAGGGAAGAGGATTGCTTTTTTCTCCCGAGAATGTTTCCTTCTTATACTTTCTTTCAGAATGCTTTCAGGGTTCTGGATGCTTTTCGCTTTCATCAGAAATGCTTGGCTTGGGCTGTTGCTCTACAAGAGCTCGGCAAACGCCGGCCGCCGGACTGCTCCCAGCCCACTGCCTACTTTGAGTTTTACCAGAGCACAGCCCTGCCGTTTGCTTGCACTCTACGGATGCTCCCGCACTACGATGGCAGAGTTAAACAGCTCCAACAGAAGTTGCAAAGCCTAAAGATGTACTGTCTAGCCCTTTACATAAGTTTGCTGACCCCTGACCAAGAACAACAGTTCTGAGACAGCAGTTAAACAGACATGAGCAGAGCAGGAGTAAGCCAGGTTCGGAAGGTCACCAGGTTGGCGGAAAGCCCCGGCACCCAGCAATGGTCAGAACTGAGGACAAGTATTATAGGGTGGACCTTGCCCTAGGGTGACTTTCCTCCCCTAGCATATAGCTGGTCACGTGGTTCGAACCCTCTCCTGACCTTTCCTCCTCTAGCCTGTCCTAGGCCTGCAGCAGACCCCCTTAGAGGAGGAACAAGGGGTCAAGGAAAAGCCTCAGAGGACTCCCTCCGATGCCTTGCTCAGCCACTCCCTCAAGCATTGAGCCCTCAAGGCAATGAAGTCCGGCCCGAAACCCCTTCAGACAAAAGGCCTAGTGTGCTCCTGTGGGTGCCAGTGGGCACCAGCCTTTCTTTTTTCCTTCCCTCAAGGCACTTACCTTTGCTTTCTTTCTCCTAAGCAACAAGTGCCCTTCTTCTGCCTCTGTAATTGTTTCCTGAGTCCACATAGCACCGCTGGGTCACTTCCACCTCTGTGACTGTCTAAACCTCCACTTACATTTGAGTCGCGGCTCGGAATTCTTTCTTAGCCAAACTTAAGGACCAAGGTCTGACATCTGGTTAAACATAACGTCTGTCTGCCATCATCAGTTCCAGAAGGCACACTGCCTTAACTCAACAGAGAAATCTGAGCAACGATCTTACAGAACAGCACTGTCACGGACACTTGAGGACTAACGTCTCCCCTCTGCCCAGTCAGCTGTGACGAGTGCAGAAAGAACTCAGAGCGGGAGGCAGAGACACACCGGCGAGGTGAGGACAGGAAGGAGGCCACATCGGCGAGACAGACCAGCCCTGCCAGGAGGGCTCGTGCGGGCGTCCTCGCAGCCAGCGTCAGCCTGTCCCCTTTCCCAGCTCACTCTGTACCTTACTGCAACATGGTCACAGCTGCTCAGTTTCTAGTCACCTCTAAGGAGAGAACAGGATGAGTATAAATGACTATAGCAATGTTTTAGATTTCAGACTTTTATTTTTTCGCCCCCGGGGGTGAATGACGCTCATTGCTACCCTTCCTAGCCCGCAAGCCCTCTGCCCTTCGGAATAAGAAGAAACATTTACTTTTACTCTATGGCTTAGAATGTGCCTAGTCTTTGGTGGCTGACTTGTAATGGGTCAGAGTGCGTGCAGAAGGGTCGGTGGCACTAATCCACCTGGGCATCCAGTAATGGGTCAGCCAGCCAGCCCGGCCTGGGTAGTGGCGTTCAAAGATCTGACGGTAGTAGTAGCCTTCTTTGGTTTTAGGGGTGTTGAAGGGAAACTTCTGAGCTGCAGCTGCCATCGCTGCATCATCAACCTGTAAGAATGAGAGTATAAAAACACAGTGTTTTTTTTTAAACGGCATGGAAATACTTGTATTTAATCTGGCTTTATAAAACAGAAAGGAAAAAATATATATATATATGAAACAACTTGACTGTACACAGTGCCAGAAACTCTGTGAATCACCCATCACTTAGAAAACATTAAATGCCATAAAATGCACAGCTGTGGAACTTCTGGAGCACACTCAGATGCGTATTTCTGATCTGTGGTGGCTCTGAGTGTTCTATTCATCTGTGCCTAATAACGTCTGGCACCCAGCAGGTGCCCAGAAATGTGTTCAGTGAAGGTCAGTGATGACTGGTTAAGTCTCTTCCCTCTCTTTTACCTTGAGATGCTACTTTATACTCCTGCATGCTACTGAATTCTTTAAAAGAGGAGCCTCTCCTATAGTCACAAAACATTTAAACTAAGTACAAAATAAACTGCATCTAAATTGTCCTATTCCAAAATATAGCCTACCTGATGTTCAATGAAGTCCTGTAAAATCTTAAACCAGGAATTCTTAACTGAGGTTATGCCATCACTGAAGGCTTCTTTCGGTCGCCAGAGAATCTCTTTCGGCAGCAGATTGGAGCCCTCAAACGTCTCTCGCAGGAGATGTTTTTCTATCCCATTCTGACATGGAAACAAAAGGAACATTAAGAAAAGCTCCAAAGATAACCAATACCAAGGGCAGCTTTTATCCTGAACTGATTCACCTACCTTGGGAATTCTCATATCAGGTGGCAGAGACAAGAAATAGGAAGAAAATCGATGATCCAGGAATGGGACTCTCAATTCAAGGCTTAAAGGGGAAGAGAAGAATCCAGATCAAAATGGATATTCAGCACTTGTCAGTTTGAATTCTGATTTAGAGTTTTCCAGCAACTCAACCAGCCTCTAAGTAATGTTAAGACTTTAATGTCATTTTTACAATCCTCCTGACCGACTGCCCTAAAAACCTTCATTCAGTATGATATGTATTATCTCATCCAGGCAGTAAAAATTGTTTGAGAATAATTACCTTCACTTTCCCTTTCCCTCCTGTGAACAAGTAAGTCTCTCTCTCAAAAAGCAGAGAAAGCATCATGAGTGACTTGATCATTAAGAGCGTCCTTTGCGCCCAGCTGGTGTGGCTCAGTGGTTGAGCATTGACCCATGCACCAAGAGGTCGCCAGTTCGATTCCCAGTCAGGGCACATGCCCAGGTTATGGGCTCAAACCCAGTGGGGAGCATGCAGGAGGCGGCCAATCTCTCTTTCCCTCCACACTTCCTCTCTCTAAAAATCAATAAAGAAAAATTATTTAAAAAAAAAAAGAATGTCCTTTGCCCCCTGGCTGGTTGCTCAGCGGTTAGAGCGCTGACATACTGACTGAAGGGTCTCAGGTTCAATTCCTGATCAAGGGCATGTACTTGGGTTGCAGGTTCGATCCCCGGCCCCGATCAGGGTCATCATGCAGGAGGCAACCAATCAATATGTCTCTTTCTCTCCCCCTCCTGTCCTTTGTCTTGACCTTTCTGAATCAAAGGTTTTTTCTAAGTGAGACCATTTATCGTCCTGTTATAAAAGCTGTAATGATAATTCAACATTTGTTAGCCAACTGATTAATAATTTACATATAAGATTCAGTATGAATCAAAGTTCCAGTGTTTCTCTAAGGCCACATTATCTGCTTCCTGAATCCTGGTGACTCTGATCAGGACAAGCACACAGAATCCTAATCACAGATTCAGTTCATTCCCCACCCCATATTTTATTGTTCTCTAATCTAACCGTGATTGGTAGGAGCAACTAAAACATTTAAAGCTGGTTATTTATCATGTACAGCATGAATCTTCAACTCTAACATGACCAGCTAAAAAGTGAAAAAATTTTATATATTTTATTTATTTAAATACTCACTGGAGGCTATTTTTCTATTTATCTTCAGATAGAGTGGGAGGGGGGGAGAGAGAGAGAGAGAGAGAGAGAGAGAGAGAGAAGCATTGATGAGAGAGGGACACATCAACTGGTTGCCTCCCACATGACTCCAACCAGGGCTGGGGATGACCCCCAACAGAGGTACGTGCCCTTGGCCGAAATCGAACCCAGGACTCACTGATCTACAGGCCAATGCTCTAAACACTGAGCCAAACTGGCCAGGGCTATATATATATTTTTAAATCTTCACTCAAGGATGTTTTTATTGATTTGAGAGAGAGAGAGGGAGACAGTGAGTTGGGGGAGAGAGAGAGAAACATCAATCGGATGCCTCCCATATGTGCCCCGACCAAGGATCAAACCTGCAACCTAGGTATGCACCCTAACTGGGAATCAAACCTGCAACCCTTGGGTGTATGGGACGATGCTCCCACCAGCTGAGCCAGGGCAAAAGTGAAAGCTTTGGCCAACCAGAAATGATACCGAAGAAACATGGGTTTATAATTTCATCAAACCTCTTGCACCTTCCCTGCCCTAATCCCAAACACAGGATCGCCAGCATCCAACATGGCAGGCGCTCAGCACTTGTTACAAGGAGGTGGATCATCTTTACTTCCCTTGAAGACTTAACAGAGCTGGGACTGCCGTCCCTCTCGGTTGGTCAGATAGGAATGTTATTTGCCGTGAAGGTGGAAACTCGGTCTAGAACCTGCAAAGGTCTTCTTGCCGTTCCCACAACAGCACTGTGAATTTGGCCTAATTCCTTTGGGGCTAGGAGACAAGCTTCATTGTCTCTATAAAAGTCATACTTTGCGCCCTGGCCGGTTTGGCTCAGCGGTTAGAGCATTGGCCTGCGGTCCGGAGAGACCCGGGTTCGTTTCCCGCTAAGGGCATGTACCTCGGTTGCAGTTTGTCCCCGGCCCTGGTTGGTCGTGCGGGTGGCAGCCACTCGATGTGCCTCTTTCACGTCGATGTTTCTCTCTCTCTCTCTCTTCCTCTCTCTCCCTCCCACTCTATCTGTGCAAAAAATGGAAAAATGTCCTCGGGTGAGGATTAAAAAAAAAAAAAAAGTCATACTTTGCAACAGACAACCAATTGAAAAAAGAAAAACAAGACAGCCACTGAACTTTCTGGTTTCGAGGGTTATGTTTACCATCGCGTCTTAAAAGTACTGAGTTACCCGTGGGCAGCAGTCGTTCGATCTGCACGGAGGACATCAAACAGGTAGAGTTCCTTCAGAAGCCTCTCACTCTCCTCCTGGGCCTCTTCCGGAGAAGGAGCCTAGTTTACAAGCACATAGGTGCAAGTTACAAATACACAGATTTGCTTTGGGCAAATAAGACAGTTTTATTCCATCCTCTTACACATACACCAACTCCCAAGGCGGATAAGGCAAGAAGCTAAGCAGAGCTTAGGGAAGGGTGGAATGCTGTACAGAACATCTTCCCTCTCTCCAAAGAGCAAATGAAAGGGACACACTGGGCAATAATCGGGTTATCATGAGGGATTAAGAAATGTAAGAAACATGATTCCTATTCTTAACTAGTTTTAAAAATTAGAGATGATCTGACACTACTGAGACTTTTCTCCCCAAAGGAAACAAAGCAGACAGTATCAGATTTCCTCATAGACCTCTCAAGATATTCAAGTGTTAGCGCTATCCTGAAAAGACAGACAATAGAAAACAGTCAAATAGTTCATGCTTGTCTTAATCTACAATATCCTTCCCTTTCCCAATGCTTACCTTGTGAAAATATATGTAACCCTGTGTAAGTTCATCTGAACCTTCTCCAGAGAAGATCACCACACTATCTGTGTTCTTCCGAATGTACTTGGAAACTAAGTACATACCTTAAAAAGAGAAACTATTGTTAATGCTGACTCTTCACCAAAATGTCTTTTACATGGCTTTTGGAAATAACTGCAAGTGTTGCTCTTAGATTAGACTCTTACTATTTTTGTATAGTGATACTTGTATGAAAGGCATGGGTTTTTTAGATATTTGCATCATTGTGCAGCTTAGCAAAATGTTAAGGTGGACATTCTTGGTCTAAAAGCATTAAAATTTTAAAACCTAAAATTGTGGAATGGTTTTGGGCAGCTTAGTTTTAACTTTTTCCTAATATTATCCAACCATGAAATTTCATACAGTGAAGGATACTATACCAGTTATTAAAAGATGCCCATTGGTTCCTGCCCCACATCCCTATAAACCAGTTACTTATTCTTAACCATTTTTTTCTCTATTATCGCCTCCCTGGGAAGATGTTTTAGACATTTTTCCTAATTGCTCCCCACAAGGAAGCATTAACACCAGATATACTGTAAATCTGTTCATTTTTGCTCCCTTGTAGGCAAGATCACCCCTGCAATGGGGCCCGTCAGAGTCTGAGTCTCTTAAGAGAGAGGTATATCTAAGCTGGTAGCACATTAGAGGCTCAACAACGGATCAGTCTGATTCTGATCTCAGTATGTATCCACGGGATAAAAACAGTATTGCTTACAGGGCGATAATCACTACTAATTGTAAGTTGTATGATGAAATATTTACCAAGATACATCTAAAATCAGTATTCCTTACAGAAAATCAGTTACAGCGTAGACCTATTTCCCTATATAGCCCAAGAAACTTTATACAGAGAAATTGGGGGAAGAGGTGGCAGAAAACACCTATCTACTCTTTGGAGAAATATAAACAATGATACTATAAATGTGGAAGTTTAATGATGTATTTATTGTTCCTCTCCAAGAGTCAGGGAATTCTTAAATAGTCCTGACTCGAACAATGGCTGATGTTGAAATTTTATCTACACTCATTTCTTGAGTATTCTTTTCTTAAACTGTTGCTAGAAATAATGTTTTTTAAACCTTATGGTTTTTCCAAATTTAAAGTCTTGTTGATATCATAAAATACCTTACCCACTGATGCGCGAACTGTCGTAATGTCGTAAGTTTCCAAGGAAAATATGACTTCATCCAGGGCCTGAATACCTTCCTCAGAGTTAAAGAGGACTTCATGGTGTTCACTCCCAATATGCTTTGCCACCTGATTATATAAAGAAATACCCCCATACTTGTTATTTAAAGAACTACCCTTAAAAATTCAACATGAAACTAGTTCACAACACATTGTGAACTAACAAAAGCCCTGGCCAGTTTGGCTCAGCGGTTAGAGCGTCGGCCTGCGGTCCTGAGAGACCCGGGTTCGGTTCCCGCTACGGACATGTACCTCGGTTGCAGTTTGTCCCCGGCCCTGGTCGGTTGTGCAGGTGGCAGCCACTCGATGTGTCCCTTTCACATCGATGTTTCTCTCTCTCTCTCTCTGTTCCTCTCTCTCCCTCCCACTCTACCTGAACAAAAAATGGAAAAAATGTCCTCGGGTGAGGATTAAAAAAAAAAAAATTCAACATGAAACTAGTTCACAACACATTGTGAACTAACAAAAGCGGAAAACTAGGCAGAATAAGGGGAAATGGCTCTGTAGGCCACCAGTGTGGGGAAATGGCTCTCCAGGCACCAGACTCCCACCTCGTCAAGCTCCCTTGCTTCCCCCAGTCTCTCCCTTCCACGCAACCACCAAGAGGTAAATCTCCCATCAGCCTTTGCCACTCCAAGACTTCACCCTAACAGTTGAGAGGCTTCCAATTAGCGCACCACATCCAACTCCCAAACACACACCTTCTTCACCTAACCCACCTCATCTCTCTCCAGTCCAACCTTGGCCATATTTTGGGCCTCTCGCAATGCCTAATTTTATACCCAGGATGTTATGCCTAACTGGCCATCCCCCTTATTCTATTTTCTTTGGCTATTTTGGATCTTTCAGCATTTATCAACTTGCTTTGGGCTTGCTCTCTAGATCCTGCTCAATCATTCTGTGCAACTTTTTCCAGAGTAAGAATGAGGTCTCCTGCACACCTGAATGTGTACCAGGTCCCCTTTACCCATAGTCCTAAACATACAGTCTTATAAAAGCAACAACACAATAACAGCAGCTAACATTCACCAAGTACTTACTGCATGCTCGGCTCTAATCTATGCACTGTATATGAAGTACATAATTTTCACCTCAAAACCATCCTATAGTAGATACTATTACTCCCATCACATAAGTGAGGAACTGCATGAGGGAGCTAGGATTTGATTTGAAACCAGCTGTCAGGTCCAAAGCCTGCGGTCCTAACCACAGTACCAGGCCCTCGCTTTCAAAAGGGGAATTATTATCATAGGGCTTTTGTGAGAACTGCATTGACCATGGTAGATAAAGAGTACCCAGAATACAGTGTACAACATAGTTATTAAACAGGCATTTCATTACACTTTAATACATTTAATTAATTAATTTATTTTTCATCCTCACCCGAGGACATTTTTGCATCTATCTTCAGATAGAGCGGGAGGAAGAGAGGGGGGAAGAGAGAGAGAGAAACATCAAAGTGAGAGAGACACAACAACTGGTTGCCACTCACACGACCCCGACCGGAGCCAGGGACAAACTGCAACCGAGGTATGTGCCCTTAGCGGGAACTGAACCCGGGCCTCTACAGTCCGCGGGCTGACACTCTAACCACTCAGCCAAACTGGCCAGGGCTAATGTATTTAATTGAAAACAATTACCAGAGTCAATACGGCAGCAGAATTACAGAGTCATCAATTACTGACTTTATTTTCATTCTAATAACAGGCAGAGACAGTGTCTTACCTTTCTGGCAGCTAGTAAATCAGGACTGTCTTCCATGCCGATGGCAAATGTCTGGAAAGGGTACTGGACTTGGGCCTCTTTTAGAAACTTCGACAGGGTGGCAGCAACCAAACTGGAATCTAAGCCCCCTACAAGCAAGACAGCAAGTGTACTGGTCACGTGCCTTGCATAGGCTGGGACAGATGACTTACATTCTTATTAAACACCAAGACTGGAGTTTTATCACTCAAAATCCCCAACTTTTATGAATTGAAAATCAACTTTAATAAGAGAAAAAAGTCTAACATAACCTGTGATAATGGTAACAGTATATGAATTGGTTAAAAATCACTACACACAATGCTAAAAAATGTTTACTCACTCATACCGGCAACATAATTATATGTAACTTTAAGTTGCTAAGCTACCATAAATATTAAATGCAGCTTACAGAAACCTGTTTCATCCCATAATGGAGAAAAGATTAAATAATACAGTAAATATTTTATAGGCAAAACCTCAGGGATAGCTACAATTCTTTCAGCTTAAAACAAATACACACTAAACATAACAAGGATTTTTTTGTTAATGAACTTCACCTGATAAAAGACAGCCAATCCTTCTGTCTGTCATCAAACGTTTCTTAACAGCATTGTCAAAAAGGATCCGGAGGTTATTCTTCACAGTTTCTATCTCAAAACCTGTTAACACATAAAGTAAACAGCTGCAGCCAAGCTCGGGCTGTTATTTGCTGAGACGAGGTATACAATCATCGACATCTATCACGATGGCATCTGCTCAACAGTCAAGTCGGCCAGACCCCCGTGCGCCACCGCCAGATTAAAAAGGAACTAGATCTTCAAACTGAAATCATTCCTTTTGGGGGAAAGAGGTGGGTGGACGTTCGCCTTATTACCTGGGAATAGTTTCCCCACATTGTCATAGAGGGCGTGCAGAGGCTCATCTGTGCAGTGATGATATTTAACCATTTCCACCGACGCAACTTTGCCATTTGGCTTTAAGTCCAAAACTTCATAGTGTCCCGGGAGAAAAGGTTCCACTTTTAAAAAAGGAACTGTGGAGTGCTTCACATTAATAAGACCTACAAATTCAAAAAGATAACTTTATTCAAAGTGGGATAACACTTCGCAGTAACTTTCACAATTAGGTAATAGCCTTTAAATTTATTTTCATTTTCCCCTTTTAATACAATTGCATGTCCATTATAGGAGAAAAATAGGAAAATAAATGTAATCACTCGAACACTATCATCTACTTACTATAGAGATAGCAGAGGTACAGAAGTGCACAGCAAAATTGATTTCTATTAATTTAAAGCATTAGGAAAATCTCCAATATTTGATTTATTCAGCCTACCTAGAATTTCTGATCCAGAAAATCTATTTTCTACAATAAAGCAAGCAAATGTAAATAGAAAAATAAGTTACGTTTATTAAGCAAAGAGATGACTTGAAATGTTAATTTATAATCTCCTGGCAGTCATTGCTTTGTCATCACCAAGGTATTTTAAGAAAATGACCATGGCTCCCAGTCCTTTAACAAGCAAAAGGACCTACTATTAGGTACTTTAGTACTTTAAAGTCAGATATTAAGAAGTCAGGCATTTATCCCTTAACTAGTAGTTATTACACACAAGTACAATATACATTTCTTCAAAAAGTTTTCAGTGAGCAGCCAATGTGTTATCACCATGATTTTTGATATAAAAATCTATGTTTTATTGTAAACAGGAACAGCCTCTCTATACAAAATACTCATTATGATTTATAATGTGAGTTTGTTAATCCAGTAATCTACTGTGTAGCACCGAAATCAAGGACTAGATAAGACCCAGAACCCATTACTAGCTAGCAGAGCTTAATAGAGCCACACAACCCCCATAGAGGGTGAGCGGTAGGTAAAAGGTTTTATGCAGGTAGTAGTGTCATAATTAGATGAATGTTTGGTAAGTTATTCTAAAAACAATGAGAAATAAAAACTGTTGCAGTACTCTGGCTGAGATCATTAGGTTTGGAAAAAGGCAGGGTTTTGAAGGATGTAAACTATAAGTCAAGAAATTTCAAAGGGTAAATTGAATTTAAGATTATAATTCTATATCAAGTTATCAAACCCAACAGAGACATAGTGGAGGTCTGCTTTTCCCTCGTGTTCTCTCTACTGGGCTTTCCTAATAGTACTTAACATATATACTTGTTCTGTGCCATTTGAAATGCCAGAAAATGGACCAATTCAGATATCTCTCAGGACGCACACTGTGACTGGTGTCCTAAGGACCCTTTTATTGATCTCATTATCCTTGCTTCAGCTAATATTCAATCTAGAAACTAAGTGAGAAAGGACGGAAGGAATAAAACATAAGAGGCAGGCAGGTAGACCAGAGTTTAGGATGTGACTTACTGTCTACGTAAGAAATAAAAGATGAATGTCTTCCTCAAGTCTACTGTCAAAAAATGCTAAATATGATTCGCCAGTATTTTCTTCCATTCTTTGGGTTGTCTTCATTTTCTTTATGGTGTTTTTAGTACAAAAATGTTTAACTGATGAAGTGCGATATATCTATTTTTCTTTTGTTGCATATGCTTTTGGTGTCATATCTAAGAAATCCGTGAAATCCAATGTCATGAAGATTTACCTCTGTTTTCGTCTAAGAATTTTATAGTTTTAGCTCTTATATTTGGGTCTTTGATCCATTTTAATTTTTGTATATGGTGTGAGGTAAAGGTCCAACTTCATTTATTTGCATGTGTATGTCCAGTTGTCCCAGAACCAGTTGTAGAATATAAACTGTGCGTTTCCTGTTGGATGGTCTTGGTACCTTTGTAAACCGGCTGATTATAGATGTATGGGTTCATTTCCTAGACTCTCAATTCTATTCTACTGGTCTATGTCTATACCTGTGCCAGCACCATACTGTCCTGCTTACCCTTGTTTTATAGTAAGTCTCAAAGTCAGGAAGTATGAATCCTCCTGCTTTGTTCTTTTTTGCTATCCTGGGACCCTGTACTTCCATAGGAATTTTAGAGTCAGTTGGTCAATTTCTACAATGAAGGCATTTGGGATTCTGATAGAAATCACATTAATGGGAAGATCATCTTGGGAAATATTATCACCTTAGCAATGCTAAGTCTTTGATTCATGATCATGGGATGATTTTTCCATTTATTTAAATCTCTCATTCTTTCAACAATGTCTTATAGTATTCAAAGTACAAGTTTTGCATTTCATTTGTTAAACTTAATACTAAGTATTTTATTCTTTTTTGATGCTATTATAAATGAAATTTTTCTTAATTTCGTTTTTAGATTGTTCATTACAAGTGCATAGTGTCCATTGCGTGTGTACCAAATACAATTCGTTTTTGCATAGATCATGTATTCTGCAACCCTGCTAAGCACAGTGGGAGGAATACAGGGTGGGGCAGAAGTACAGTTGTTCATATGGAAAATAATACAAGAATAAACTCTGTGTTTGAGAGATTACTCACAACTGTAACCTGCCCCACCCTGTATGGGAACTCTGTTTTCTTCTCAATTTTTCTGAAACCTAAAACTGCTCTAAAAAGTAATCTGTTAAATTAAACGATCCTCAGCAGGAAAAAAAAGACCAAAGAACTAGATATTTCTCCAAGGAAGATATCCAAATGGCACACAGACAAGAAAAGATGCTTGACATCATTGTCTACAGGAAAACACAAATCAAACTACAATGAAATAGTACTTCATATAATCCAGGATAGCTAGAATCAAAAAATCAGAAAATGCCCTGGCTGGTTTGGCTCAGTGGTTAAAGCATCAGCCTGTAGACCAAAGGTTAGCAGGTTCGATTCCCAGTAAAGGGCATGTACCTGGGTTGCAGGTTGCAGCCCTGGTCAGGGTCATGCAGGAAGCAACCAATCCATGTGTCTCTCCTCACACTGATGTTTTTTTTTCTCTCTCTCTCTCACCCACCTCCCCCTTCCACCCTGTCTAAAAATCCATGGAAAAATATCTGTGGGTGAGGATTAAAGAAAAAAAGTGTCTGTGAGGACGTGGAGAAACCAAAACCCTCATATACTGCTGGTGGAACTATAAAATGGTACAACTTCTTTGGAAAACAGCCTGGCAGTTCCTCAAACAATTAAACAGAGTTACCACATGAACAGCAAGTCTACCCACTAGGTACATACCCAAGAGAAATGAAAACACATGTCCACACCAAAACTTGTATACAAATGTAATTTGTACACTGACAAATGGATTAAAAAAAAAAAAAAAAGTGGTAGGTATATCCATGTAATGGGATATCTTTAGGCCATAAAAAGTAAAAAAAAAAAAAGTAAGCACTATACATGCTACAAGTTGGACAAATCTTAAAAGCATTATTCAAGTGAAAGAAGCCAGTCACAAAAGACCACGTAAGAATGATCCCATTCATATAAAGTGTCACGAACAGTTAAGTCCATAAGAGAGGGTCAATGGCTGATGGATATAGAGGGATGAGGAGTGACAGCTAAAGGGCACAAGATTTTTTTGTAAAGTGGTAAAAAAATTTCTAAAATTGACAGGAGTTTTGGTTGCAGAAATCTGTGAATATACTAAGAACTGCTGAACAAAATACTTTAAATAGGTGAACTGTATGGTATGTGAATTATATTACCAATAAAGCTGTTTCCAAAATGCTAAATAAATACTTGCTGTAGTTATGGCCTGGTACCACAGTGCAGTCATTGCAGGGCCAACCCTAATATTACAACAGGATCTAGGTAAACTTGCCAAGACGTATGGGATCGAACTAGATGCAAATCATGTCAGCACAACAAAAATTAAATGGCTTTTCTATATAAATTTATACTTCAAGGATTACAGAATTTAAGTGCTAAAGAGGAGAGTCTAACTCCTTGGTTCAAAAAAACACAAAGTTCAGAAGTTCCATAACTTACTTAGTTAATTGTAAAATTCTGGATTGCCCCCTATGGGATTTGCAAATGTGACCTAGAAAAAAAAGAAAAACCAAAATCCAGGATAGTAATGAAAATCTATTAAGAAAAAATTCTATTATTACCTTTAGCTTCTGAACACACAGCCAAAAATCCATCTTCCGTCATAGCTTTAAACAAAGGTCTGACTCCATAGGTATCTCTGCCCAGGAACACTTTCTTATTGGCCGTATCCAGTAATATAAACGCAAACACCCCATCCAACATACAGACAGCTTGCTCAATTCCTCCTTTGTCATAAAGATGAAGGATTATCTCACCATCCACTCTGGTCTGATATTCAAATTCAAAATGTTGTTGCAGCTTAAGGAAGCAATAGCAAAATTTAAATGTTAGAATCCTTATGCATTCACTAATAACTTTTTATTGCCAAGTTGCTTCAATATTTCTATGCTCGATAATCATTTCATGCACTTGAGTGATTTAGAAGAATCATGGCATTAAAAAAATAGCTTGTCACAATCCTACACATTTTTAAATGCAAAAATTTAGTTGCATTCTGATAAACAGAATGCGGAGACAATGTACCAGAACAGCAATGCATGGAGGCATGAAAATGCATTATTATATACCTACTGTGTATGTAATACAAATATACAAATATATCTACATACAGGGGTGGGCAAAAGCAGGTCTACAGTTGTTTGTATGGAAAATAATACAAGAATGAATAAGTAATAATGCAAGAATAAACTGTTCTGTATACTCACAACTGCAAACCTACCTTTGCCCACTCCTGTATATGTGTAAGTTAAGCAAATAGGTTGCCCAGTTGCCAGGACACTGAAAATATATCTTCCGCTACCGTAAAATTGGGGTTTGGGAATAGAGTATTGGCTCAGTTTTTTCTAGTTCAGGTTCAGAGACCTACCAATGAAAATAGAAAGCAACAGGACAAACATATTTTGCACTATTCCCTGAAAAGTAAATGGCTCCATCACAGTAATATAGACACATGGTCCAAAACAAAGCTGCTGGTCCCTAGAGCAGGGCTACAACATCCGGCGGGTCGCTTCCACCACCGCAGTGGAATCACAGCTACTTCTCAATGACAGATGAAACGACATGAAGCTTATTAGTGCACACGCCCCAAAGGAACAGTAAAGAGAACGTCACTGTCAGCGCATACAGAGTAAGAGGGTTTAAGTTATGCCCCCCTAACTCCGTGGCTCCCCATCAGCACTGGCAAACTATGAGGGTGAAAAGTCCTTCGTAGGTTTGTTCCTCTTTCTTTGTACATAACTCATGATTTTGGGTTGACAATGAAGAGGAAAAGGTTCATATAAAATCAGGTAAAATTACAGATACATTTAAACATTTAAAACACGATTTTAAATTTCAAAAAGTAAATTTACATGTTTATATACATATGGCCTATAAAATATGCTTCACAGCCCTGGCCGGTTTGGCTCAGCGGTTAGAGCGTTGGCCTGCTGGACGGGAGAGACCCGGGTTCGGTTCCTGCTAAGGGCACGTACCTCGGTTGCAGTTTGTCCCCGGCCCCGGTTGGGGTCATGTGGGTGGCAATCAGTCTATTGATGTGTCTTTCTCACATCGATGTTTCTCTCTCTCTCTTTCTCCCTCTCTCCCTCCCGCTCTATCTGAAGATAAATGCAAAAAAAAAAAAAAAAAGTCCTCGGGTGAGGATAAAAATATATATATATATATATGCTTCACAGTCTCTCTCACTTTATACATTTGTGGACCTTTTGTCTCAAAGCACTCACAGAACTGTCCAAAAGTGGGCTTTGGCCGCCCCCAGTGTCTACAGAGCCACCTCCTGGTTGCCTCTCCCTGCTCTGTGAGACTATCAGGGATGATCTCAGTCCCTGGCAGGTGAGATGTGGAAATGGTCTTCTGCTGACCCTTGTGGACTCAAGTACCTGAAGGATAAATGACCCTAAAACATCCAATGACTTTAGCAAGCAGCAGCTTCCCAAATCTTCCCTCCACCACCATGTCATCACCGCTCTTGGACCTAAACTTTGCAGGTAATTTATGGGTTAATGATTCACATGTACCACTTCCGAGTCTCCTGAGACAAAAGCCCTCATCTCTTGCCACTATTCCGAAATCACACTGACCTTGGACTTGGCTGCAAGGCCCTGCCACTCCCTGCAGGGAGAGGGCCTCCTCTATGCCACAGCCTTTACCCACATTCCTCTGCCTGAGGCATTCTCCCTCCACTCCCAATACCCCTCAGGCTGTGTTTTAGTGGCAGTAAATTTTATTTTCGTTAAAAACAGGAGGGTTTTGAAGTTTATGTTGCAGAATACTTTATAAGAGCCTAAAATGCCCACTCTACTCTTTAGACCGATTTCTAGCTGCTCAAACTGCATTACCATAGATGACTGATAGAATTTCATGTCTCATTTGAGGTGAAAGTCAGGCTAATATTGCCATAACACAAGCTAGCATTTTCATGTACTTGGTACTAATTTGGCTTATTTTAAGCAAGAAGTTTTAACTGTTCCCCTCCCAGAGTCCCACTAGCATGAAACTCCATTCTTACCTTCCCTGTTCACCATTTCATCTCCAAACACATATGTAATGATGCCTGATGTATATAGTAGGCCTTTAATAAATGTGAGGGGCATTTGATGAATTACTATAAAAACTTTTCAAATAAAAAGCCTGTAATTGAGAGTGTTCCTATAAGCAGGTAACAAACAATGGCAAAAGCTATGTTTGGAGATTGAAAAAGTCCAAAGGGTGGCTAGAATATAAAACCCTACCCATGAATGATAGGTATATATATATCTAGAAGGCTGAAAAAAAATACCCAGAGACATCACAACCAAAGGCATGAACCTTGAATGAAATCTGGCCCAAAATAAACAAACATTAATAAACCCAACTATAAATATATTCTTGGGACACTTAGGGAAATGCTTACATACTTAGAAGAGTCGTAATATCTGTAATATACTAAATACAAAAAAAAAAAAAAGGCTTGTATGTATATAAATACAGAGACACAGAGACAAAGCAAATATGGCAAAACATTAACAATTACTCAGTAAAGATTTTCATTGTTCTGTTCCCTTTTTAAGTTTGAACTTTTCACATATAAAAGTCGAAAAGGAGGGGGACAAACAAAAACCCCTGCAAAGTTTAGATTAAAAATTTCTTATGAAACATTAGACAAATAATTCCAGATTGAAATTTAGCTTCCTTAGGTCAGAATTTCTATCCCCTCACCCACTCTCATTTTAAGAAACTTTCACCAGATTAGAAAGCTCTCCCAATTTTAATGCTAAAACTCCGTCTTCTTGCATTCCATTGCATCTGGCCACTTTTCTGTCCTCTGGCTATGACTAAGTGTCAGTATGCGGTAGCAATAAATACCTTAAGGGCAACATTATAGAAAAGCTACAAATATGATCACCTCCAAACTATGAAATCCCACCCCTGCCTTAAAATCCTCAAATCTCCCTGCTCTTAGAATGATATTCCAACTCCTTACTATACCAAATCCTGCTTGATCTGGTCCTACCTACCTTCCCAACCCTATCTCGTTTCCTTAGGACAATCCCAGGGCTGCTTCGTGCCTCAGGGCCTCTACACATTCTATTCCCTCTCCCTGAAATGCTCTTACCAACCTTGTTGGCTGATCCTTGTCTTCTGCCTCCAGTTCAAGGGACAATTTCTCAAGAGGCTTTCTCTGACCATTCTTCCTAAAACTTGGTCTCCTGTATCCATCTGTGCCATATTTATGTTTTCAGAATGCCTGTTGTATGTACAGTCGTTTTTGTGTTCTCTAACTGACACCAGCAACCTCTTGGTGCATGGGTTGACACTCAACCACTGAGCCACACCAGCCAGGCCTGAATATATATATTCCACTACAGTGCAGACCTAACTCATATTTACTACTGTGGCCCCAGCACCTAACACAGAGCCTAGCAAAGACTCCAATTAACATTTAAATTCATAATAGGAAAAAAAAAATTCTAAGAGTTAAAGAACCTGAATTGTAATTCCCATTTTATCTTTTTTTGTCTGTGACCAAGTCACTTCATCTCTTTGTTTGTCGGTGCCCTATCTATATAATTGAAACAAATAAAACCATGAGCATGGAAAGTGCATTGCAAAGTAAAAACCATTATACAAAATATGCGATTACAATCAATGAGTTCCGAGGCTTAATCCCATCAATATACCTTCTGGATTCCTTTTGTTTACCTTCTGGTTTCATTATGTTTACCTTCTGATGGTTATAGATTTCTCCATTGTAACATAACCACAAATATGGAAATTTCTTCACTCGAATTGGCTGCATTCCATACAGCGGGTCCACCACTGCCAACCGGTGAAATCCAAAGCAGCAGTTGGTATATCCATTGACATTCTCAAAGCGAAACGCATCTGGACCCCTGTGTGCAATCTTCATAGCACTCAGACACTGAACAGAAAGGCAGTTATCACTGCCAAAGAGGGCCCAAATGCCACACATGGTGCAGTGGTGCTACCGGCGCTCTACGGAGAGAAAAGCAGAGCAATTAAGCAGGTACTCAGTACCCGATCCAAGTGGGCATTACATCTTGATTCCAAAAACTTGCACAAACCATTTCAAAGACCGAAATATAAACTTATATAATATAAAACGAAATATAATCTTATCTGCAGCAAATTTTCATTAGGTTGGCAGGCACAGAGGAGTAGAGAACAATGCACGACCTTTACCAGCAAGCTATAGCAGCTTAGCACCCAAGGCCTCCATCCATCTCTCTCACCTTAGGATTTGGTCAGCTAGAGCTGGTGGTGTTCAGGCCACATTCTGTTCTGCATCCTAGGTTTACTTCCAAGATACAGATGACATGTAGGCTGGCTCCAATCCAACCAGAAATCCCAGCCCCACTCTTTCTAGCTCAGAATCTCAAACGCCCTCAAAAATCCATGAGACTCTCTACAGTTTCCTTGGGGATCTTCTTGACAATTAAATGTACTCGCTCTACCTCTACTAACTGCACATAGAGTATCATTGGGTAGAATGGAAGATGATACATTTTGCTAAAGTGTACTATTAAGATATACAGCTCTGCCCTGGCCGGTATGGCTCCGCGGTTAGAGCGTCGGCCTGCGGTCCTGAGAGGGCCGGGTTCGGTTCCCGCTAAGGGCATGTACCTTGGTTGCAGTTTGTCCCCGGCCCTGGTTGGGTCGTGTGGGTGGCAACCACTCATTGTGTCCCTTTCACGTGATGTTTCTCTCTCTCTCTCTCTCCCTCCCACTCTATCTGAACAAAATATCGAAAAATGTTCTAGGGAGAGGATAAAAAAAAAAAAGATATACAGCTCTTACAAGCATTTCACAACTTCTAGCTTACCTCTAAGTGACTTATTCAAATGTGATAAAAGAAATTATAAAGAGAAAAAGGAAGCAACATTATCTGATACAGATATCCTGGCTTTATAACAACAAAAATTTACATTGACAGAAATACAAAATGTTCACCATCAAAATGTCCTAAAAGACAAAACTGTTCTCAAATAATTTTGTCTCAACGTTGCCTTGGTCAATAAGAAAGCAAAGTAGATGGGACACAGAAGTGATAATATCTCTGAAAACAGCTGGGTTCATCCCTGTAGACCAAGACGCAAATAAATAATTCCTACAAATGTTCATTACTTGGACATTTATTCAAATATTCAACTGTAAAATAAAGGGCTGTTTTATTTGGATGCTGCCAGCTCAAAACAGTTATTTGACCAAAATATCTATTAATTTGGAAATTATTTTGCTATTTTTTAAAAATGCAAATTTGCAGCAAATGCATAGATAATTTTGGGACAAAGACCATAAGGAAAAAAATATATATTCAAGCCTGGCTGGTGTGGCTAAGTGACTAAGCATCGACCCATGCACCAAGAGGTTGCTGGTTCGATTCCAGTCAGGGCACATGCCCAGGTTGTGGGCCCAATCCCCAGTGGGGGGAATGCAGGAGGCGGCCAATCGATGTTCTCTCTTATTGATGTTTCTCTCTCTCTCTCCCTCTCCCTTCCTCTCTCTAAAAATCAACAGAGAAAAAAACATTTTTTAAAATATATATAGATATATTCAAGTTATAGCAATCACTCTGAGCAATCCTCTGAGGGCATTTCATTTGTATCTAAATGAACCAAAGCTGCTTTTGGTCTTTTAATGAGACTAGATGAAATTAATGGAATATAATATTAACTCAAGCAACTTGGAAATAAAGTATCACATGTCTTATGCAGTCCCTTCCATGCACAGGGCCAATGAGATATTTACTTTGAGATTTAGTGGGAAAATCCACTGAGATTTAAGTGAGATGACTATTGATAAGGCATCTACCTTTGACTCTATAATATATATACAATACTACTCAGCCATAAAAAAAAAAGGTTGCTGCCCTGGCCGGTTTGGCTCAGTGGTTAGAGCGTCGGCCTGCGGTCCGGAGAGACCCGGGTTCGGTTCCCGCTAAGGGCACGTACTTCGGTTGCAGTTTGTCCCCGGCCCTGGTTGGTCGTGCGGGTGGCAGCCACCCGATGTGTCCCTTCACGTCGATGTTTCTCTCTCTCTCTCTCCCTTCCTCTATCTCCCTCCCTCTCTATCTGTACAAAAAATGGAAAAATATCCTCGGGTGAGGAAAAAAAAAAAAAAAAAAAGGTTGCCATTTGCAACAACATGGATTTACCTTCAGGGTATAATGCTAAATGAAATAAGTCAGAAGATAAATACTATATCATTTCATTTATATGGGGAATCTAAAAACAAAACAGAAACAAACTTAGGTACAGAGAACAAATCAGTAGATACCAGAGAAAAAGGGGGTTGGAGGAGGGCCAAAAGCATGAAGGGGATCAATTTTAAGGTGATGGATAATAACTAGACTTTTGGGGGTGATCACTCTGTAGTGTTTACAGATATCAAATTACAATGTTGTACAACTAAAAGTTAAATAAATTTTTTTAAAAGCGTGCTGGGAAAGTGCTTTAAAAATCACCTGAGGTCACACTAGTGAATCATTAATTTACCTAGGTCCTCCCAAAGTTGCTTAGAGAATCCCATCATTAAGCCTGTTAAAGATAAATACTAACCAGTAACCTGGAGGGGAAACAAGTTTGTAAAGCACTTACTTCTCCAGTATAAAAAAAAAGCAAATTAAAACCATCACCTGGTACATTTAATGGAATCGGTCTCACTTGAGGGCAAACGTCCTACTTGCACTGCTTTTTCCTACTGCTGTTCCCAGTAATTTTCCATATTTCCTCATAAACTTCTAGAGAAGTGCTGTCTAACAAAAATGTGAGTCGCATATGTAATTTTAAATGTACTAGTAGCTCCAATAAAAAGAGGAAATGGGTGAGATTAATTTTAAATATATTTTAACACAATTTACCGAAAATAGTATCATTTCAACATGTAATCAGTATAAAAAAGGGACATTTTATATTGCTTTTCTCTATGAAATCGTCAACATCTGGTATATTTTACACTTACAACACATCTCAGTTGGGACTAGCCAGCATTTCAAGTTCTCAGTAGCCACTACTGAATTGGATAATGTTATTTCAGTACATTCTATTCTAATTATCATCTACTTAAACTTCATATCACCGTATTTTTTACAGTAAGATCTCAGCAACCAACTCCTGGTCAGGTTCAAGATCTTAGAGCAGTGCGATTAATCAATAATAAAAAAAAAGAGTTCTTGGTGCTTTTAAATTATCAGTCAAGTACCCAGGGCAACAGACCCTGGGTCTGTGGGCCACGGGAGGAGAAGAAAACTCATCCTTTATTCAAAATAGTAACAATCTGAAGTTCTATTGAATAGATAATCCATTGAAAATAGATGTGCCAGTTCCTTTGCGCTTTTCGGTACCACGCCGCCTGTCGGCCTCCACAGTCCTCTTTTGGTCGGCAAGTCACTTGAGTCTGGGGGAGGTGTGGCAAGGCACAAGAGGGGCAGTGGAGGTGCGGGGTAAGCACAGACCCGGGGAGAGACCGCCCCCTCCTGGACCAGGACCACGCTACCAAGTACCCCGGGGCTCCCAACGGCAGCCGGCCACGTGCACCCGCGGCCGCTGCACAGGAAGGTCGCCGGATTGCGACAATTTCCACAGGCCTCGACGCAATATAATAAAAAATAGTAAAATTCACAGCGGGCAACTTAGGCCGCCGCCACCTTCCCTCCAAAGCAGCTGGCCTGCCCTCTTCGGTTCACGGATCCCTTCCTCTGGCGACCACGACAGGTCTGTCCTCTCGCGCTAGCTCCCAGGTGCGCCACCATCGGCCCCGCCCTCATTACCCGGCAGGGGCCGCAGGAGCCGCAGCATCTGCCGGAGCCGGATCCGCGTCTGCCCTCCCATGAGGGGAGTCAGGCGGCAGCCAACCTACCCCAGATCCCGGGCAGCCCGAGGCACGCGGGGAAGGGCGCTCGCGGGGAAGGGCGCTGCGCTGGGCGCCCGAGCCTTGCTTACCTGGGTGCAAACAGGGTGGGTGAGTTGGAGGCGCACAGAGACCGGGCTGCGGACTACCGGCGAGTGAGACGGCGCGGTGTGCTTCCTCTCCCTTTATACCGCCTGGCTCCTGTAATGCGTGCGGGAAGTTTCATCATGCCTGCGAGAACCAACCAATGCACACCGCGGTGTGGGCGTGGCCTGGCGGGAGGGGCGGGACAGAGTGGGGAGAGGGAAGGGCGGAGGAGCTGGGAGGAGCCCTTCTGTTTCTAGCTGTTTAGTGTTACTGGGCTTGCTGAAGAATAGCCTCAGAGGTCAGGCCAGGGACCCCATTGACACCTAGGGATACCTTGCCTGCTGTTCTGACCATTATGGGGTCTTCTGCGCTTGGTTCTTAGGGAAGTCCTCACCAAAATGATTGCAGTATCCCCTAGGTATCAGATCTGCCTCGTATCCTTAATTGTAAGTTCACTAGGAGTACTGTAGTTCTCCTTACTCCTAAAAGAGGGTCTGATGCATAGATGTGGATACACAAATGTTTTCTAAATAAATAGTGAGGCAGATAGGAATAGCTGGAAGGGTATCCTCTTTTTTATTAAATGCAAACTATATTTCATTATGTTCTACCTCAGAGAGAGTTAAATTTCTTCTTCCTCTGAATGTACAGCTCAGTGTATTTGTATTTTGTGATAGATCACCATTAAACTTGTGATATAGATGTACTGTATTTGTACTACCAGGTTGTCATCTTCTTGGTTGTGTCGAGATCTTCACCTTTGGGGTGCCAGGGTGAGGTCAGTGGATACTACTAGGTAGATTCTCAAACATGTATTCAATTAGATTCATCATTACATTTGGTCGCTAATAAATTTAATTTCAGGAAAAGACTGAGCTCCAGTCTGAATTTTACCACTAACTGCTTAGATGACGATAGTATGTCCTACAATCTCCTTATTTCTATCTTTAAAATAAGGAAATAAGAGATGACTGGGGTTCCTACATTTGTGAAATTCTAAGTACTACAGTGATAAGAACTCCATAGCATCCAAAGAGGGAAATTAATGACTTTTTTCATCCCCACAATGCAACCTATCTCACTGAAACGCAAAATAATCTTGCAATCTTGATGTTTTTACATTAGGCCCAGTTACACCTGATACTTGTAGATCCAGGATGTGAAATCGGGGCTGTGTGGATTGATAAGCCATTCTCTTCATCACATTCTGCCTGTGGAATAAAATGGCGAGAAGAGCTGGGTTGTACTGGTGACGCTGGCAGAGAGTGAGGGGCTGACATAGCCTCTCTTGTTTTTACTGAACATGAATGATTTGCATTCAGGATTAAATACATTTTCTTTTTCCAGATTTCATCTCCATTCCTACATTGAAGCATGACCCTAAAATTAGACTTTTTTTTCCTATTTTTTATCTGCACTGAGAGTTTGAAAGGGAAGACTCTCCATTTAAAAAGGCACTATTAAACTGGTCCCAGTACTGCACTCAAGTTTATTATGCAGTACAGGGAAAGATTTGTCCTCAGAAACAAATGTTTAAGGCCTAAAATGTTTTCATAAAAATCTAAGTCAAGTTGATAGGCAAAATAGATCAGTGGTCCCTAAACATTTTAAGTACAAAGATTCCTTTTAGAATCACACACACAAAGAAAGGTTTTCTTGACCTGACCCCACAAAAAGATACTGTGCTTTTAGTATCCCTTTGATAGAGAAAATATACCACCATGATGAAAAATAAATAAACAAGTTACCCTGATTTTCATAACTCTTAAATAAACTTGTATTTTTAGTCACATCAGCACCAAAATAAATTGAGAAATAGTAAAAGTACTTACGCAAGACATACTAAGATCAGACCACAGTCAGTGCTTGTAGAGATATCCCCCATATAGTACCTTCCCAACTAGTTCAAAAATATAGTCCTTAAACACAGAGCATGCAATGGACACTGGGTAGCTGACAGGTAAGAACAAAGATAAAAGATGACTAAGTTCTAAGGCTCCTTATTGCCCTCAAATTCCAGCATCAAACAGACTTTGCTATATCCCCATCTACATAATATTAAACCTGACAACAACCTGGGAAAGTGGGTCTCTGTCTGCATTTTACAAATGTAAAAATGAGACTCAGAGAAATTGAGAGATTTAATCAAAGACACACAGTTTGAATTAAACCATAAAGAACTGAATCATGATCCATATAAATCCAGAGCCCCTTTCCTGGCTATGTAGTAGAAGACAGATACTTGGTATGTTATTTGGTTGTGCTAAATGTCTTCGCTTGTCCCTCCAGAGCTACTCCCATCCTTCTCCACCCCACTTTGTGCCCTGGCTCCCTTTGTGCCTTGCCCTCCTCTTCAGTTTGTAGAACTGTACAAAGGGAGACTCTTCAAGGAGACCAGAGAGTGGGAAGAAGAAATTTCAGGGTATTTTCTCCCCTGACTCTCTTGGCGCAAAATTCTTCTCCTGAAGTCCACAGCACCAGTCACCTGGCCCTCTGCAGATCCCCTTCTCTTCAGAGTCCAGGAACTGCTCTCTCCTTTTCCCTCTCCATCCTAGCCCTTGGGTACTGACCATTCTTGCTTTTCCTAAATGCTGCCCACACTTCTGTAATTAGTCCCTACTAGACTTCCTATCAAAACCCTGCCCAACACATTGATCTAAGATATAACTGAGGAAGTGGTGGATTTAACTATAGTGAAAGATGATTTATATCTTCTTCATTATTAGACACAAATGAAAAGTAAATTACGTTGGCCTATTTTCTCATATCTTATTCTATCCCCATATTAAACCCTCAATCTAAAAGCAACGTTGGAGCATAGAACACTCTGACCTGTCACTGAGGAATCAGAATAAAATCCTCCTCTGCCAAATAAAACTTTTAGGCTACCTTATAATAGACAACACAATATTGCACTTGTTCAGCCCTGAGAGCATTAATTAAAATAAAGTAAAATAAAATAACGTTAAAGTTCCTTTAAATATGGACACAGACAACAATGCTAGGGATGGGGGGTGGGAGAGGGGGACCAGGATGAGGGTGTCAATGGGGGAAAAGGATAAATTGATTAAAAAAAAAGTAAAACTTGAGATTCCAAAATGGCAGTGGAGTGAATGGAAGCAACACAGACCATCTCCCAGGACCAAAATGGAATTACAATGAAAATAAAGACAAATTGTCAGGAAAAAGCAACAGGAAAGTATCTTGGAGGACCATATAACCAGGGACACTGACTCAATCCTGGTAGGCTTGCGGAAGAATGAGAGGGGCGATGGGAGCCCACAGACAGCAGCGACCTTAGCTGTGAGCAGCACCCTCGGCTTAAACTCCCAAGTGGCTCCACAGCCCAGAGATGGGACAGATGCAAAATAGCCACAATCACTCACATTGGGCTCCGGCAGAGGGAGGACAGACTGGATTGGAACTGTGTGGGGACACTCGGGATTTGGAGGGTGCTCAGAGCTTTTGCTGAGTTTGACCACGCAGGATTGTGGTCATCTTACTCCTTCCCAAGGCTCTGGGGAAAGGCAACGGCCCCTCCCTCTGAGATTCAACCCCACTAAGTGGCCAATGAAATGCAAACTGAGGCTCACTAACAACCAGCATCTATCCCACACTCGGGAAGTCCCCTTATGCTGAACACCTGAGGGAGTTTTTCATTCAACTGAGAAGCCAAGGCTCTTCAAGTAACTGTGACTAATAGCCTCCAGGCAAAAAGCTAGACAATAACTGAACCATTCCTGGGCTTGCAACTCTGCCCAGGAAGGTAAGACTTCCTGGAAGTGGTGTTTAACGTGGGTCCTCCCATGCTCAGTAAAG